AGACCCAAAAAAAAAAAAAAAGGGTTAATGGTGAATGTTTACTATTCTTTCCATAAACATTAAAAAGAGATCAATGGGGTACGGTGCCACCAGCAGGTGAATCTGTACCTGTGAGGAGAGTGCATCAGCAGTATGATAGTTCCTTCAGACGTTTAGATACCCCAGAATTGCTGCTGTGCCTTTGACCAGATCCCTAAAACTTGGGGCCAAGTATACCAAGAAAGTAAACGGCCAAAAGTTAGGTACGTGGGAGATACACCCACAAACCACCTCAGTTATATAACTGGAGGCAAGGCCTCTCTGGTTCCTATCAAACTGCTTAACAGCCATGATACCAGAGACTCATAAACAAATATCGGAACCCAGTGGCTTTTGGTGGAAATTGCGTCCGGTACCCGCGGTAGGTTACCAGTGCCAGGCCACCCCGGGGGGGGGGGGGGGGCGGGGGGGGGGCAGGAAGGGTGCTGTTCCTCTCCCTGCTCCCCCTTGGTGGCTCAGTGGCCGCCATCCTCCAGAGGCCATTGGACAGTCAGGTTTGGGCCCGCAGTGGCAAGACACACAGAGCCTCACAGGATGGTGATGGAGCTGGCCCTTTCCTCCCCACCCCAACGAGACCCCAAGTCGCCGCCCGTGAACAGCCTCTCTGGCTCCTGATCAAGCTGCTTAACAGCCATGATCCAAGAGACTCAGAAACAAATCTAGGAACCCAGCGGCTTTTGGCAGAAATGTGTCCGGTCCCTGAAGTAGGTTACTGGTGCTGGGCAACCCCAGGTGGGAATAAGTTTTGTGCCTTGACCGGTTCCCCCTGGCGGCTCGGTGGCCGCCATCCTCCAGAGGCCACTGGACAGTCAGGTTTGGGCCCACAGTGACGAGACACATAGGGCCTCATGGAATCAGGGTGGAACTGGCCCTTCCCTCCCCACCAATAAGACCCCGGGTCACTGCCCACAAACGGCCTCTCTGGTTCCTGATCAAGCTGCTTAACGGCCATGATCCCAGAGACTCAGGAACAAATCTTGAAACCCAGCAGGTTTTGGCAGAAATCCCTCCAGATTTAATTGTTAAAATTTCAGAATTTCAAAATCGCACAGCCACTACTGTGGCTGCACGACATCATATATTATTCATAATGCCTTTTCGCAGATCTGAGTGTTGAGGTAAAATCCCAAATAATAATGGTGGGTCTGGTGTCGATGTATTGAATGTAATCAAAGTAGAGAGAGAGTAATGTGGAAATCATCTGCCCCACAGTTAGGGGGAGGGTGTGGATGGGGTGTATACTGGGGTTTTGGGTGGTGGGCAATGGGCACTGGTGTTTCATCAATGTGTGACTGAGACTTAAACCCGAAAGTGTTGTAACTGCTTTCACGGTGACTCAATAAATAAATTTATAAAAAGAAAAAAAATAAAAAGGTGGAGTTCATGCCCAATTCAATCAGCCTAATCAATGGCTGAATAGACAGCTATACTCCTACATTAAAATAAAAAATAAAAAAAAAGTAAAAAAGATCATATATACAAGTTGCTAAGAAAATAAAACAAAAAAAAATTCTCAAAATAGTGAAAGGGGGGCTGGAGTGACAGTATAGCAGGTAGAGGGCTTGCCTTCTATGTGGTTGACCATGTTTGATCCCTGGCAACACACATGGCCTTGCGAGCCCCACCAGGAGTGATCCCTGAGCACAGACAGGTGTGGGTTAAAAAAAAAAAAAAGACTGATATATATTTTGATTTTTTGTTTAATGTGATGTTGGCACAGGAACACAGGCAGACCACTGAAACATAAGGGAAATTTCAGAGACAAACCTGCATATATATGCAAGGCAACTCAATATCTGATAAAGGTTACCTCATAAATCAGTGGGGAAAAAAGTCAGATAATTTAAAAAGCACTATGGAGAAAACTAGTTGAACAGATGAAGAAAAATCGACTCCCTATCAAAACTACATAAATAAAGGTGAGGCATAAATCATCAAAGAACAAATATGACAATAAAACTGTAAAATTAACAGAACAACTTTGTGGTAAGAAGCATGAGGGGGCACCATAGATTCCGATGAAGTGCATTTTTGTTTGCATACTTCTTTTTTGGAAGCACTTTCAATATTTTAAAGATTGGAGATTAGTACATCAGGACTTTTATTCTTTTTCCCCTTTTTTTGTGTGAGTGTGTGGGTAGATACCAGTGTGGTATTTCGACACACCCAGCAGCACTCAGGTGGCCTGGTGCTCAGGGGAACATGTGGTGCCAGGAATCGACTCAGACTTACAGAATACAAACCAAGAACCCCAGCCCCTTGGGCTATCTCCCTGGTCTTTTATTCTTTCTTAAAGAATATCCAAGGAATAAAAGGAACACCACTTTCTCGTAGAATAAAGGCCATTCTACTACAATTAAGTACCAGAGGTCAACTAGATTTTTTCACAAAAAAAGGACTGAATCTTACACTTTCTCCTCATATTTTGAGATATTTTGTTATTATACCATCCAAATAATTACTTCATCATAAGTCATTGTCCATCATTAGTTCCCACCTATGCTAAAGCAAACAAACCAAAACCACTGAAATAACAAATGAAAGGATGATGGCCTGATAGGTTAAAACAATGGCCTTCAATGATGCCCAGTCATAACCTCATAATCCATGAATGTTATTTCAATATAGCAAAAGGGACTCTGCAGACTTGATAAAGGGTAAGAATTTTAAATCTGAGGGATTATACAAGATTATCCAATTGGGGTGGGCATACTTAGATTAGACAATTACATGAGTACCTAAAAGAAAAGAACCTTTTTAGGTGTACTGAGAGGGAGATATCTATTCCAAAAAAGAGTAAGCGAGATGCAATACTGTTTGGTCTAAAAACAAAGAAAAGAAACAAAAGGGATGAATGAGCACAACCCTATATACACCTTGACTTTAGCCCAATAAGATCATTAGAGTTCTGATAATAAATGTATGTTATTATTTTTTTTGGGGGGGGGAGAAAGATAGTTTTTTGAAATAGAGCTTATTCAGAAAGTTGTTCAAAGCAACTAAGTTTATGGTAATTTGACAGTGGAAACAAAAATATTTTAATCATTAAAAGGATGCATTCAAGTCATAAACCATCATTTTACAGTTACTTTCCCGCTTTGCCCAAAGTACTGCATGAATACTAAAAGACCAGAAACATTTTTGTAATACGGGTCAGTTCTCATTGACTTAATACTCTAGCTGAAAATGAAGAAATCATCATTTTCTACCAAAAAGGTCAAGGGAAGAAAATTACAGTGGCTTACATTTTTGCTCGTTTGTTTTTGGACCACACCAGGTGATGCTCAGGTTTACTCCTGGCTCTGTTAGGGGGAACATATGGGTTGCCCGGAATGGAATCTGGGTCAGCTACATGCAAGGCAGGCGCCTTACCTGTTGCATTATTTTTCCGGCCCCAGATGATTACATTTTATAAAATAACAAATCAGAAAATACCAAGGAACAGTAACACCTTTAAATTATAAAACTGATGGTGACACTGACAATGTAAGTAAAATCTAAGAAAAAAAATCAAATGACAATATCCTACATGAATTTTCTCCACTTGATTAATCAGTGAAATGAGCAATATTTTTCTAAGAAAATGAGCAGGAACACAATATTCTCATCAGTCATTTAACTAAAGTACTTCATCATAAGTCATTCTGTAACTAAAAACCTGAATCTTCTAATTATGCTCGAAGGACACGTAACTATACCCTTCAATCCTTTGTAATGTTCTGCACCAAAATCTTGGTACAAACAGGTTTACAGTGTTTAATACTGAATTTTTTACTAGTTATTTTCCATTAAAACTTTATTCCTGCTGTTGTAGCACTGTCCTCCCTTTGTTCATCTATTTGCTTGAGCGAGCCCAGTAATGTCTCCATTGTGAGACTTGTTGTTACTGTGTTTGGCATATCGAATACATCATGGGTAGCTTGCCAGGCTTTGTTGTGCGGGCAAGATAACTCTCGATAGCTTGCCGGGCTCTCCGAGACGGACGGAGGAATCAAATCCAGATCGGCTGGGTCGGTCGCATGCAAGGCAAATTCCCTACCACCGTGCTATCGCTCCAGCCCTATACATTATTATTATGATAACATGAAAAAAAAAAGCCTAAAATCAGTAAGAAAAATATCTGTAAAAAATCAGTAAGAAAAATACCAAATAGTTCAAGGTGATGACCTGTATTTTTAGTCAAAATTTCAGCGTAAGTCTTAAGACAAAAAAAAAAAATTAGTGACCTCTGTTAAGTTAAACTATGAGTCCAGTTCATGACAGAAACCATGAGTAAAGCTAATAGACGTATGACTAGAAGTCATCACTATATATTATCACCATCATATTATAAAATATGCATAAACATGGGAAATAAATTTGTAAAGAAAATAATTCTCATAGAAAAATAGGTAAAGAATTTTAACAATTTACAAGGGACTCTCAAAAAGTTCAATGAACTGCAATGCATACTGGAAATTCAGATTTGATCCTTGGCACTGGATGGTCCTCCTAGCACTGAGTTGGGAACAGCCACCAAACACTGTTGAATGTGACCCCAAAAACCAAAAATAAATAAGGAATCTAGATGATGACAAGTATTTTTGAGGCGTGGAAAAAGATACTCAATGCACTCTATTGAAATTCTAATCAGTTTTGTACAACTGTCCCAAACAGCAATATTTTTCTATGAAAGTGCATATATTCTAAAACCTGAAATTTTATACTTAATAATATATCTTACTGTTTGGTTTTGAGACTTGTAATAATGTATCTTAAATGATCACAATGGCACAATGGCTCAGAAAAGAACAGGACAAGAAATTCACTGCAATTTGAGGTAGTAAGGAGTTTAAAGACAATCTGATGTCTATTACTGAAGGCCTAAAAAATTCACTCTTAAGCACACATGTAGGTTTCCTTTGTAAAATGTACTTTAGATTATTTAATCCAAAGAATATAAAGATTATAGTCAGACTCACTTTAGCTCCAACACTGCAACTGCCAGTGCTCCCAGTGCTCCCACTTGCTACACCTGTAAATCTAGCTTCCAATAATTCCTGTCTTCTTGGATCCAGACTATGAAGTTCATCCATTGCACCTATTAAGGAAAAAATAAAATACACACATATACATATACGGGTATAACAGAAATATAACGTATCTATTTGCATGTCCAATAATGAATTTTGAAATCTGCATGATCAACAATGAACTTTGCTAACAGATAAAATTAAAAGTTTTTAAGATTTTCTGTAATTTTCATGCTCAATTACAAAACAACATTTTGGGGCTGCAATTCACAATAAGAAATGTATTTTCTATCTGACTTAGTCTATAGACATAAGTTTAAAAGTTCCACAAGTAGAGACAGGGGAGATAGTACAGAGTTTAAGATGTATTCCTTAGGTACACCTGACTCTGATTCAATCTCCAGAAGCACAGGACTCCCCAGTACCACTAGACAATTATCCTCGAGGCCCCTGGAGCATTTCAGGGATGGCCCTGATCAGCCCCAGCACTGCTACAACGACATAGCCAAGCAATTAACTACTAGACTGCTTAATTTAGTATCACTGGGAGTGGTATCCAGGCTCCCTGAGTACCATCAGAGAGACCTAACCACCAAGAAAGTTTCACAAGTACTTTGTGGTGCATACAGATTCCTCCAGTATCGTCCAGTCTATTTTATAGTCCATTAAAAATTAAAACACTGGGGCTGGAGCAACAGCACAGCGGGTAGGGAGTTTGCCTTACACGCGGCCGTCCTGGATTCAATTCCCAGCATCCCATATGTTCCCCCGAGCACCGCCAGGAGTAATTCCTGAGTGCAGAGCCAGGAGTAACCCCTAAGCATCTCCAGGTATGACCCAAAAAGCAAAAAACAAACAAACAAACAAACAAAAAACCCAACCCAAAACTAAAACACTAGGGCCAGTGATTTAGATAGTGATGGAGCGCATGTCCAGCACATGGAGGCTCTGGGTTGAGCCAACACAATACCAAAAGGGAAAAAAAAAGTGACTGACAGAGAGACACACCTATCGAAAAACACTGGCTGTGAGCTACTTAATTTATTTCATGAGCCATCAATGGACCTCAGTGTTTAAAAATATATAATTTTTGTAGTGTAATTGCCCTAGATTATCACACTCAGCTCCCGGGAGAGAAGAAGGCAGAGTCTCCTACCCTGTGCCTGACTGTCTCCACCAGGGCCCAACAGCTGAAGACCTCCGGGGCCCAGCCAAGAAAGACCATGCTGGGACCACTCTCCACACACTTGGATGAGCCTCAGGCATAAAAGAACTAGCAGAGGAACCCTGGTGTATGGGACCCGGGGCTGAGATCTCCAAACCTGCAAGGTTTGGGACTGGACCTACTAGTAACTAGACAGTTACACCCACCAACTGTCGTGTAACTCCAACAACGGCCAGGATCCAGAGATTATCACACTCAGCTCCTGGAAGCACGCGGTCACGAATAATAATGACATCTTATCATCTCATTCCTACTTTGGACAAACTGGCAGGCTACCAAATGTAACCTGCCCACACGGCAGAGTCTGGCAAACTCCCTGTGGTATACCCAATATGCCAAATACCAGTAACAATGATGGGTCTCATTCTCCTAACCCTGAAAAAGCCTTGAATATGGCACTTTTAAAAAAAATCTCAGGGCTAGGACGAAGAAGAAATTACTGGCACCTGCTCGAGGCAATCGACGAACAACAGGGTGGTTGTGATTGTGATCGTGGATCGCCCTAATTCTACGCTTATACAGAATTATAACTTATCTGACTAGCTCCATTTTAAAATGGGAAAGACTTTTATTATGTGGTGGAAAGACACCCATCCCATATCCATTCAGAGCAGAATATAGTCAAAATGTTCATTTTACCAAAAGCAATATGCAGACGTAATATACCTAAGATTTATTATATACCTACGATTTCTTGTACAATTGATAGTTTTTAGTTCTCATAAGGAGATTAGACACATATGTATCAAACTGATCATGGTGTAAACATCAGATTTTAAACAGCTGCCTTAGAATAAGGAAGAAACCTTCAACACTCCACTAAAAAACTACTAGAAAACATAAATGAACATAGTAAAGAACACATTATAGAATATATAATATTACAGACTATATAATAAGAATATATAAAAACCTGTTGTATTATATACAAATGAGAACAAGGTTTTTTTTTCATTTTTTTGATTTGTCAAATTTTTGAAAAATTTTTTAAATCAATTTTTATTAGTGAAACACCATGAGGTACAGTTGTAGACTTACAAATTTTTGTGCTTGGGTTTCGATTTTACAATGATCAAATACCCATCTCTCCACCAGTGCCCATTTTCCACCACCATGGATCCCAGTATCCCTCCCACCCCCATCCCCCTATCCCACCCTGCCTCTGTGGCAGGGCATTCCCTTTTGTTCTCTCTCTCCTTTTGGGTGTTGTGGTCTGCAAAAGAGGCATTGAGTGGCAATCATGAGAACAAGATATTTTTTAAGAAATCCCACTTACAATGGCATCAAGAAAGTTTAAATACCTAAGAATAAATTTAATGGAGATGAAAGAAATATACAACAAAAACTCGAAGACACTGTTAAAAGATGAGAACAAAACTTAAGTGGCGGAAAGATACCCATCCCATATCCATTCAGAGGCAGAATATAGTTAAAATGTTCATTTTGCCAAAAGCAATATGCAGATATAATGAGGTCTTTAATTTAAAAAATGAAGTCCTGAAAACAGAGAAATGGTATAAGAGGTGGGGCATTTCCCTGCACACAGCTGAACCTAGTTTAACCCCAGGACCCTATCTGATCTCACAGGACCAGAAGTGACTCCTGAGCATTGTCAAGTGTGGCCCACAACACCTCCCTTCTCAACCCCTCCCCTAAAAAAAAAGCACCTAAAATATTACAGTAGTATTTATGAAGGACAGAACAATAATACAAAAGCTTATTTGGAATTATAATAGAGCTCAAACAACTAAACCCATCCTGTAAAAAAGACAAGAAAAATGGAGGCACTATGTCACTGAACTTCAAACAATACTACCAAGTAATAGCAGTTAAAACTGCATAGTAAGGTAAAGGTAAAGGTAAAGGCCCTCCCGTTAATCGTCGATTTGCTCGAGTGGGCCCAGTAACGTCTCCATTGGAGACTTTGTTGTTACTGTGTCTGGCATATACAATACTCTCGGTAGCTTGCCGGGCTCTCCGAGAGGGGCGGAGGAATCGAACTCGGGTCGGCCATGTTGGCCGCTTGTAAGGCGAACGCCCTACCCGCTGTGCTATCGCTCCAGCTCCTGCATAGTACTGGAACAAAAAAAGACCAGGATCAAAAAAGTATGGTTAAGAGCCCAGTAATAAAGCTATACCTTTTATCAAAACTTAACCTGTTACAAAGAAGTCATGATCTACAATGGAGGAAGGAAAATATCTTCAAAGTATATACATATGAACAAAGAAGGAAGAAAGGAGGAGGGGAACAGAAAGGAAAAGGAAACATGGGTTATTCTCTAATGCCATAAAAAAAAAAATTTCAAGATGGATAAAAGACCTGGATGGAAGACCTAAGCCACAAAATAAGTCAAAGATACCATAGGTAAATTCCAAAACATGAGCATTAAACCTTAGTGTACTCAACTCTAATAGCAAGAGAAATAAAATAATCGGGTCAACACCAATTTTTTAAAAAATTTCAAAATAAAAGAATCTACTAAATGAGACATGTTTACATAATTGGTGAGGGTTTAACATCCAAGGTACACAAAGAACTTTAAAAACTCAACAAAAACAAAAAAAGATACAGATAGACAAAATCATCTCCTGTCTGTGTGAATGGTTTATATCAAAATGAGTAACAAATACTGGCATAAAAAAGGAAAGGTGGAGAAAAAAAAACCCTTGCATATTGTTGGTCAAAATGATAACTAGGGAAATCATTTTGGGAAAATAGTATGGAACTTCTGCAAGAAGTTACCAAAAAAAATAAAAAATAAAGAAAACCCAAACAAACACCCCCCCCAAACTACCATATCACCCAATAATTCCACTTCTGAGTACCTACCTGAAAAATATTAAAGTATCAATTTTTCAAAAAGTTGTATCACTGCACTGTTTATTACTACAATAGCTAAGATGCTAAAGTCCATCACAAGATGACTGAATATGTGTCTATAAACAACGGAATTCTATTCCACAATTTTAAAAAGATAAAACTGTCACTCACAGCAAATGATAGGACCTGAAGAGATTACGTGAAGTAATGTATGTCAAGAGAAAAACAAAGAGGGATGCTTCACAATTAGGTACAAAATATAAAATTTACTCTTAAATGTTCTTTAACCTATGTCTGTTAATTCTCTAATAAACCCTAAACTGACATATAAGAGTGATTTGCTGGGCCGGAGAGATACTACACCAGACAGGGCAGGGTGCTTGCTGTAAATGAGGTTGACACTCGATATGGTACCCCCAAGCCATACCTGGAGTGGTCCCCTAGTACAGAGCCAGGAATAAGCCCAAAGCACAGCTGAATGTGGCCCAAAATAGAAAAAGGAAAAGGAAAAAAGATTTTTGAAAGGGAAGAAAGTTATTATCAGAATCCAGAATTTTCAAAATATACTAGAGCCCTTGATAGTCATCCTCTGCTAAAGGTTAAGAACATTTTCTATAGACCTTATCTTTTTAAAAATTTCCTTCCTCGCCATTTATATTTATCTGGATAGAGGGCAGGATGGAAAACAATTATGTTCACATCCTGATACATGGCCCCACTCCATCCCTCCTTCTTCCATCTTAAAGAGGTTCCTTTCTTTAAAAAGCCAAATCCTTTACTACCTGTCTTTGATTCTTCTTGATACCCAAGTGGTTTATCTCTATATACACCTTAGGTCCCTATAATCTGATTTCTATTACAAGTATACTTGTAAAAATATACTTTTTAAAAAATTATTTATTGAATCACTGTGGGAAAAGTTACAGAGCTTTCAGGTTTAGGTCTCAGTCATGTAAACATCAAACACATTTCCCTTTACCGATACTTATTTTTTACCATGAACCCCAATAGAACCCCACCTC